CACTGGCCTCAGTTGGATTAAAAGGGTAAACAAGTTTTGTCATCGGCAAATAGGAAAGGTTTGCCGAAGGTAAAGATGTCCAAATATCATTTACATATACTAGGAATAAAAAGGTCCCAGAACACTAACTTGTATCACGCCACTGGTGAGAGACTTCAGCGTGCTATTTCCGTGATTGATCTGAACAATCTGCATTCTATTTGTAAGAATCAAACCATGAAAGCAGAGGATCGCTTATGCCAATTGCAGTTAGTTTGGATAAGTTGTAGTTATGCGAGACACGATCAAATGCCTTGTGCATATTGAAGTCGCTGACTATGTTTGATGAACTTCCATCGGGTTCATTAGTCAGGAGATTGAGAAAGTCGATCTAACATGTGATGCAGGATCGCGCATTTTGGAAACCATGTTATGAGGTATTGATAAGATTTCGCATTATCATGAAGTCAACTGTTTTGGACTTTACATGAAGCTCTATTATTTTAGAGAATACATAATTATGGCTTATTGGGCGGTATTTGCTCATTTCATGTACAGTGCCTGACTTGTAGCGCGGAATGACTACAGCCATCTTCCACTGTGATGGCACAGTATCGGCTTTCATAAATAGGGAAAAATGATTCAGACGTAGTACATGAATGTCGGATCCACCGTTTTTATCTGTGTTGGGGGTAACTTGTCTTGTCCAGCATACCGTGATAATTTAGTAGAGGAAATAAGTCGATTAATGACACGGAGTTCAAAGTCAACTAAGCAGGGCTTGTCGCTGGTAAGCAGAGAGAGGATTTGCGAGGGAACCTCAGCAGTAGCGTTAAACGTGGAACAAAAGCAATTATTAAAACCGCTGCTTGTTGTAGCTGGATTGCTACTTATTTGGTTACCATGAACCAAGATGGTTGGGGTTGCCATTTTGGTAAGCCGAAGTCTTTCAAGTTTGGCGATGACATTTTGCTGTTGCAATACTGGGGAGAGGTCGTTCATTTTCCAATATCCATTTCATAGCCGTGTGAATTTGCTTGCAAACCTTTCGGTGGTGGAGACTGACTTTATTTTTCTGTGATGACGCCGATACTTCAGTAGTATTAGGGTGTCTGGAGCAATCTAGTTATTCATGTAGAACTCATCTGCAGCCACTTCGGATCATTCGTTAGGAAGAAATCTGGCCCACTAGAAATGGCCGTCGGAACGCTACCAGTTAATGTACATCTGTGTTCTTAGATTATTTGTGTGTTGTTCGAAATAAGAGATTTCCATTTAAGACGAATAATGTAAGGCACTTCGCTAGTATCGAATTTCAGCGAGGATCTGGTGCGTGTACATCCATCTGTTTGGTGCCTTGAGCACTCTCTATCAGTGGTTCATTAATTACAAAAGCTTAGATAAGGGAACATTCATGGTCACACCTATGAGCAGACATAAGTATTCTTCCACCATTCCTCTCCTGATTTCTACGGCTGGAGTCTGATACCGTCAGTGGATTTCCTCAAATCAATCTTTTGATCACTAAATGCACAAAAATCATTAAGTTGATCATAGGTTTTCCTTTGGCTTATGTCTGGTTCTGTGAATTAAAACACATGTACCTTTTTAACAGTTGATAACAACAATCATTGATTCTCGCACTTCTCCAGTGATTGCTTTTAACAGCTTTCGCTTACTTTCACACTGACCTCGATTGGTGAGTGCGGTTCACAGCAAATTTTATCTCACAGCCGAATGGATACATTCCTGTAACATGGCGGTTGTGTGAAAAGTTTCCGAACAGGTGAGATTACTTCGGCACCCTTCGCTCACATCGCTTAAACTCATATAGATCAAGCTACTCATGACAATGTCTTCTATATTCGACCGCTGATGGGATTTGCAGCTATCAAGCCACATACCGCGTGAATGAACGCTCACGGTGGGGCTATCCTGAATACTGAATGAAATGAATTCTGTGCAACTCTTTCGAAATATGGTGAAAACCTTATAAAAATTGTCAGCCGTGATTATCATGATCGTTCTCATGTAACATTTAAAATATCTGACTCACGATATTGCAGGACTCACAAATGTGACATGTCATCGTAATTGTGCAATCGTTCTCTGAATCGAATAGTGGTAAAATATAAACCTAACAACATTTTGAACTGCTGCACAGTGCTTGTCTCCATTACATGTTCAGGCAAACTGTTCCAAATATTTACCACTCTCTGTTCGAAGCGCTGTGGGTGGGGAATACGTTTCACATCCATGATACGACAAGTTTTTGTCTGTGTCCGCGTGTGCTGAATGGCCTTCGTAATTGCAGCATTGGCCTCAGCATGGGGAAGTCACCGTGATGTAGAAAACTGTAGGTCATAATGAGATCGACTCGCACCAGTCGGTAGGACAATTATAGAGTCCTAGTTTTTCGCACCCTGTCTTCATACCGCAGGCCAAGTAAACTCGGGATGAACCTGGTAGAAACGTGTTAGACCCGTTCGATCTTTTGTGCATCGCCTCGGGTAATCGGAAAATAGGCGGGTGAACCGTACTTTAGCATTGGTCAAATGATGCATGAGAAGAGGATAGTGGCAACCTCTTCAGATCATGTGCCGAAGTTACGTTTGAGCGCCCAATCTATGCGCAGTCCGTTACATATTAGCCTGTTCGTGTTGTCCACGAACTTCAAATCGTAGCGCGAGAGTACACTTAGGTCCTTCACGGAGGGTGTGGGATAAGGCGGTTGGCCGTCAAGGGTGTAGGTGTGGCCGTCAGCACCCTTCCCCAAGCTCATAAATACCGGCTTGACAGGGTTGACCGGGAGACGAACTTCTGCAGACCATATGGATAGGCGGTTGTCTTTCTGAAGTAGGCCACATTCGTCAGGAGCGTCAATTTCTCTCCACACCTTTATTTCGCCCGCAAACAAGACACACGGCGACCGGAGAAGCTAAGTAGGTCGTTACATGTGGATCAGGAACAGAGTGGGCCCAGCACATTGCATTGAGTCACGCCACTTGTAGAGTGATACCAGTCAGTTAGATGGTCGCCGGCTTGTACCCTCCACTTTCGTCCAACAAGAAAGTCTTACAGAAGTTAAGCGCCCAACATACGTTCGTAATTTCGTTCTTTTTTGTTTCTACTGGTCTTCAACAATCAGAATTTCACCTGCTGGGATATCAGTGCCCGTTGGAGACAACAAAGGTTAACGATTTATGCCAGGTGAAACTGGGCTTCTCACAACGGTTGGACTTCGTGCTGGTGTGTTTGCACGGGTAGAGCAGGAAGACTGAACTGAAACCTGAAGGCTCTTCAGGTTAGGTTGTTGGGCCAAAAACACGGAGCTGCTCTCAACAGAATGATGATGCCTACACGTCAGCTTTACTCTTCATGGCTGTATCTTGTTTCGGCGATTTTCACATAAAGTTTGAACGAGATCATGTTGGATCTCACGAAAACGATGAAACGGCTCAAATAATAATCCAACACATGAAATGTGATATTTAACTTGGCACAAAACACACGTGAGGGCATTTGCACGGTATCCGACTATCTTGGAACGAGTACCACAGAATGCTTGCTTCGGCATTGTGAATAATCCGAAAATAAGATGGCGGCCAATTGACGGTGAAAATGGCGATAGCAAGATCACCGAAACCGAGCGATGTAAACGCAAGTATTTCTGGTTGGAAATATTGGAATCGGAAATGAAATTGAATTGTATCTACATTCCCAGGAAATACTTCCAATGATCAAAGAAATCCGACACAAAGTGATCTTGTCAACACAGTCAAAAATTACCGACCGGATATCATTATCCGTAGTGATGACGTACATGCACTACATACGTTTACTTTGTCATATTTGCCATACTCATTTACGAGTCAGGTGGCGGGGCCTTTAAATAGGCGGTTGCCTTTTCCGCCGAGCATCATTTTTTACGTAACCTACTGTAGATACATCATTTGTCGCAAAAGTAGGTCAACGTGTATTTTGTTCAATCAATTGCCAAAGTCACTGAGACCAAGTTACTCTATCAACCTTTTGAATACAAACGTGAGACACCGCGCACGATTCGCGATCTATTTTCCCTGCACACGAAGTTTTACGTCAAATGAAACGAAATATGACGAAAGGGTTTACTGAACCGTTTACCTTTTTTAATGGATGCAAATCCCAAATATTCAGTCCAGCATTATGGAATCGTTGCTCGATGGAGTTATAACAGTGGGCGATTCACATATTTCTGCCCACCTGATGCTTTTGTGACCATTAACGCAATCAACTCACTGTTGGTAGGGCTGAACATGCTGCGTTTCGGTACCCAATGTCTTTAGGCAATCGGTGATTACGGCTACACGTCCCATGGAACAATCAGTATCCGTGGCTAATTTACCGGCGATAGCGAATCTGCCTTACTCTCCAAGTTCCATATTTGAAGTACGAGTAAGCCTCGAAAGCACAACAAGCCGATTACATCAGTTAGTGGATTGTCTAACTTACCCACATAACATGAGGTCTGGACAGCTTCATGTTGACTTGTGTGTCTTGTCCTTTGTGGTAACATTTATGTTTTTATATTAACAGCTGTCCTTTTTACATTTCGCGAATCATCATGAAATCAACTTTTGACTTTTTTCATATTTCATTCTGCAAACTTACATGGTTAGTCAAGAAGGCATTTTTAATTTTGATAAACGCTCTATTTTGCCCGAGCCATGATGGAAAAAGTTTCCTTTCTACTTCAGATCCAAACGTTATGCGTTTGCCGAATTCGTCCCCATCCTCTTCCGCGGTTAGGTCTCGAACCAGCTTGAATCAATATTGCTGTCCCAAAATAAATACCTAAATCTCTCCGTTGGTGTCCAGAATCGTTGCACGAAAAGATGCAGCTATTGGCCTCTCTAACCTATCCTGCTCTGCTGCATCCACAGGGCTTCGTATCGCGATGAAATTTGCAATTTTTGTTTGTACAACTCCTAGCAATGAATTGCTTTAAATGCTTTCACCCCACCTTTGTTTCTTCCCAATAGTTATGGTGATATGGTTCCCGAAACTATAGTGGGAAAAATTGTGGGTGGAATGTGCTCCCTTTCCGGCGTTCTGGTTATTGCGCTACCTGTTCCGGTCATTGTGTCAAACTTTTCCCGTATTTATAACCAAAGTCAGCGATCGGACAAACGCCAGGCCCAAAAGGTATGGATTCGTTCATCTACTTTTTCCTCCCTCTGATTCATATCCCCGATTTATGTCATCTCACACATGTATAATTTGCATATCAAACTTGCGGGGAACTCGTGACAATCTTGGCCTGAAACAGGTCATGCGTTAAACTTTTTGATGCTTAAAAGAGGCTATATTTTCTCCCCTTCTTTAGATTTGGCAAATGCATTCGGATGTTTTGTGATGAACTTTCGAATTGCTGCGCAGTAAATTACGAGATAATTTATGCAACTCACTTGCTAAGGTTCGTCAAGTAACACATCAACTTTTGTGGAATGGTTTAGGTTGTTGATCCATTTTGGTCGCATTTGTGGATTCTTTCCTATGGGTGCGCGACCGTTTTCATCACTTGCTACTTTGCCCTGCTCCGTTATCTTTCCAGAAGAATAGTGGAACTCCAAAATGAACAATCTGTTCCATCACCGTCGTGATACAACCTCTCATCAGTGTTTTCTGTGCCGAGTGTCTCTCTTGTCATCCATTTCTCAATGAGCATCCGCACAGTTTTTGGCACTGACTTTATGATGTCGACCCGATCCGATAATTGGTTGTCTTACAATTGATTTCAGCTGGATCAATCAATTACGTTTACATTGAGTCGGTTGTTTTGGCTCCGCTTGGTTATCTGCGCGTCCTTGTCACTTATCAGCTTTTACTTTTGCTGTTGCTATCAGTTCGCCTTATTTACCCTGTTGAAAAAGTTTGTCAGACCTGGCTAAAACAACGTGCAACATGTGGCTCCAACTTTATTGATATACAAAAACGGAACGCAATTCCGCTGCGAGCAGATTGTAATTGCTAACCGCTTTAACCAGGTTCTGTTGCATCATGGTTCCCTTTCTTCACGGATTAGATTTCCTTCGAGATAAAATTGTCTTTCGGTTGTTTTTCTCCGCAACAGAAATATTTTGCTTAGATGTCGTCATACTGATGGAAATTCTCTCCAGCAGTATCCATTATTTTCTTCCCTCCTGTTTCTGCTGTAGAGAGCACGCCAGGCCCGAATCCGTCTTGCGCAGATGATGGCCTCAATGAATGCTAATAGCGATGAATCGGAAGGGAGTACCGATGAGAATCCGGACGATACCACAAGCTTTTCCACACGCAGCACTTCATGGAAACCACAGCCTGATTTTCCAGCTCATGTGGCAGAAGGCGAGAATAAAAAGAACGTACATTTACGCAACAAGTTCACGGCGAACGTACAGCGATCCAATGTGTTTGATAGTGAACAGGAGGATGGTGCACCTCCGTCGACGCCAGCTGCGATAAAACCCCCAGATATAGTAATTGACAGCGAAACAGAAGTCAGTTTATGGGACTTTCGACAGCCGTCAATCAAAACAAAGCGTTCAGTGGTTGATCCCGATATTCGAATTTCTGCTGCGGAAACATGTGATTCGAGTGCTTCGGACGCCAGATGCAACGTTGCTTCACAAGTAAATTATTAGTTTTCGATAGTGACGACTAGCAACGACCCACTCTGAGAAGCGTATTTCGAGCAACATTTTGTTTCAAACAGCACATTAGTCTGAAATTTGGTTCATTTAAATTCATGCATTTACCTTCCTTAAACTGAATCTCCTTTTATGTCTCTATTTCAAAATGGCAAGTAGGAACAATATTTTAACATGGTACTCAGGATTTCGGGTATTCTCATCAGCTGTTAACATGCAATCAGTGTTATACTAAAAAGTAATGACGTTCAAGTTCATTTAAGTTAGGTTTGATACGATCAAAGAACTGAACCGAAGTATAACAAGGCGGGTCATAAACAACCTGTTTCCACAAATTGGGTTTCAACTGTTGGGTTGCTGCAGCTTTAGCAACTGAAGCATGCGAGCGTTGCAATGTCGGTTACGTATCCTGAATGATTCGTGGGAATTAGGCACATGTAACAGTCTAGGATGAAGCTAGCTGACAGCTTCTGACCATTTGTGACAATATTACGTGGAATGTGCTCCAAAATCCTAGTCGACGGCCTTTCAATTTGTCCCACATACTTGGTACAACAATCATAATGAAACAGGTAAACACATGAAGTGGTGTCTATCCCAGCTGGTTTGTTTAGGTTGGATTTACATAGCAGCTTACATACTTGGTATAATGACATATGTTACGCCGCGTAATAAGGCCTCTTTATCGGCTGGCGGAGATGATACCGAAATCTTGTATCATTTTGCTCCCGTTTAAACAGCAGCGCGAAAATATCCATTTCTTAGGGACGTCTGTCAGTCGTTTCTACTTGCTATCTATGTCGGCTTTTTGCACCGTTTTCATGTAGTACAGATGACGCGTTTTCCAACTTTAAAGTACATCTTGTGAGCTCTCACTAATGAGGTATGAAATAATGCGCGTTTGTTGTCTATAGGGCCAAAACTGAGAAAGTTAAGGTATTGTCCTGCCCAAGTAGGATTGCCATACTCGAATCAGTTGAGTGTGCCGTCTGAATTCCTCTCCAGCTTTACATCAACAAATTGAAGGTGTTATCCATTTTGTTTTCCATCGTGCATTTGACTGCAGGGTGGCACGCGTTTAAAACATGGAGTAGGTGTGCTACCTGCCGAGTGGTATATTTCACAACAAACCTGTCGTCAAGCAAGCTACAATACGATTGCACAATTTGTATGTTGTTACCTAGTGCAGTGTTCTCCAACTGACCCATGAAACTATCAGCCGCGACTTGTACAAGTCGGCTGCCCATGGCTACACCAGCCATCTGGCGATAGATTGTTCCATTGAATTTGTACGGATTGTCTTTCGTTCCCAATCGCAGTTGTGCCTTTAGGCGATCTGCCGGAAATCCCATTGTTATTGCTCGATATTCAGCAAGATATTCCATGTTTCCATTTAATAACAAATCTACTCCGACTGATGGGTGCTTCACTGTTCAAATTGGTACGATCGTACGATCCTTCTCTTTGTGGACACGGTCCCTCGACACCGCGAGAAATTCAGTTCACAACTGATTGCTGTTTAGAATAAGCCTTTAAAACGGGATAAATCGAACATTTGCATCCCCATGCTCAGCTTTAAGCTTCTATTTCAATTGAAGAACTTTTAAGTATGAGCCCATCGCTTGTTTTATACTTTTCATTCACCCTATTTGTGGCCAATCTTGAATTAGTTTAAAGCGACACCCATCATGATTCCAAATGCTTGCAGCCTGCTGCAATGCATATGATACCCAGTCAAAGTTACTGCTGTTTACCGATTAAAAAGTTGCAATTTAGCACCGGAGCATATGGTTTAAAATAATTAATGGCACCTTTGAATGTCAACTGCGATCTGTGAAAAAGGCAACTGGCGTTTTATACTTGTGAACCATGAATGCGTCAAATCTAGCAAAATGTGCCAGACCATCTGCTATCAGTTTGCAAAAGCAAACTCTCACGAACCTGTAAGCACTTCAGTAACCTCATTAAAAACGATTACCTAAATATATAGACAGTTCATTTCCCCTTTTACAAGAAGTCAATCCAACGATTGGTAGACAAGTTTGTGCAGGTGCGCTTGCATAAAGAACCGTACACACATGTTATTAGTAGTTTAGGAGATCACTGTTATGTTATAATGTAAAATGTTGCATCCAAGTCGAATTTCGCTAACATGGATTTCTACGCTCTCAGCAACTGAAGCACCCTTTAGTTTTCACTTTAAAATGCAGGCGTTGCATAATTTTCTCCGTCTTGGCATTTTCTCTTGTGAATTTTTTAGGTGACCCAATTTCCACTAGCATTTACCAAAATCCAGGCAGAAAAATGCATGGGTCGAATCGCTAGGTAAAAACGAAATCATTAAAACATTCCTACTCCCACATGGCCTGCGATCACATCAGTGTACGTGGTTGTTAACAACTTCGATTCAACGCGGAAAGGTAGTCATCCACTTACATCACTTGGCACAGCCATCTTTAGTCGCAGAGGCAACAGAATCATGTGGATCGAAATGCCTAACTTTCATAAATTGTTGATCAGTGAAGCACGACCGCTTTCCCCCCTGTAAGCAAAGTTCGAATATCTGCAATGGATTTGTAAACATACAGTTGGGCTAAATGGAAACGGCATCATCTACCGCTGTTATCCATCCCTGACTTGTTTCTCAGGAGCAGGAAATGTGCAGAGGCGCTGATTGATCCGACTTACGTATATGCTGTTATCACTTTGCGTTTGGAAAATGTATCTTCGTCTGCTGATCCTACGACCCGGCCTGTAGCCTTGGAGATCACCAACCTTCCTTATAATCCGAGGGTGCGGGTTCGAGCCTGGGTAGGGACCAGGTGACCCACGCAATATCCTTAGCCCAGTCGCGACCGATAGCGTCGCGCGGCAGTGAAGCGTCGGTACTGTGTACCGGCGCACTGCTGACGCATTTTCTATCCAGTCAGCCCGCCATATCCAGCGCAACTAAATGAACCAGGTTCTGGCCTTATCGGTGGATCGTGTTTTCCTTTCTCACCGAATCTCTCGCACCACTCAGTTTATTTTACTTTATTCATTACCTGTCAACGCTACATCGCGGTACAATTGCAAGCTGTTCCGTAACAATTTGCTCCGGATGAATGTCGATCACTGGTAGTCGCTCAAGGTCAAAACTGTCTCTTTCTTTTCTTCCTCTTGATCAAGTATAATCGTTTGTCACGCCACTTTCTCCTTCTGTGTTGTATAATCGCCCAATTCTTTACGTCCTTGTTGGGCCAGGAGTTGTACCCGCGTTCCATTTTACTGGCACACATTCCTAAGGAAATCGAGAGGAATGTGTTGGCCACGCACTGATTTACATAAGCACTCTAAACTTGCTTACTGCTACCATTTGACTGACAATAGTTCTGTCAGCTCGTTATGTTTCTTCATTGTTGTTCACACGCATTTGTGCGGATGATGCATGCATTGTCATCTACGTTATCGTTAACTTCGTTTTTTCTGTTTCCTCATTTAAGAATGAGCAGTAATTCAAGTTACGCTTCGCCTATCGTACACTACGGATGTTGACGATAGTGTTTCAACAGTCAGCTATCCGAATCGGGATAAGGAAAGATTTTTCACCAACTCTCTGGTGTGCAAACGGACTTAACAGAACACTAAATTACGAACAACAGTCTCTAGCACAGTTTCAAAATACCGTGATCAGCATAATATCATCCTAATGAATATTCTACCAATTGTCAAACAGGCGAAAGAGTTCTGTTTCAAGCAGTAATTTCCAACTGCTGTTTGTAGGAACACAGTCTCTACGCTTATTAAGCTATGTGGAGCTATATGGATACACTTTATCACGTTAGCAACGGTCTATTCATCAGGAACTTCGGTTTTTATCATTTTTCGCCTATCGCAACGGAGCACTCGTATGCTCCCTCAAATCAAATCATGTTTTTTAGTTGTACTCATGTTGAGCCATTTCAAAGTGCGGAGTGCCAAAACATACTGTGAAATTATTGTTTCTTTCAACAAACTGGACATTAAATGCTTATATAAAGTGAGTTAATTTAATTTCGTCCGGTTTTTTTCTTTGAATTTTCGCCTTGCAGGCTGGTGGTATGCTACCGATGCTGACGTGTTTCACTGTGGCAGCACGATTGCAACATTTTGTGCAGTTATGTAACCGGTCTTATCTAACGAATCTGCATTGCACACTGCAATAGTTTGACCTAGCCGTGCCACTGCCTAGGAGGCGACCCATTACTTATATTTTTGTCATTTTTCTGCCCTGATTTTATTGAAGACTAAAGATAACAGACGAAGCTGTGTCAAGAATGCTGATTTGTGTTGCACGTTGACAGCAAGATTGGCTACCATTTATATTTCATTAATCGAAACTGGTAGAAAGGACGTATCCGGAACTTTATAGTGAGAGCGGTAATTGCAGACTACTTAGCTCGAGTTACTACGAGGCTATTAAAAATGCATTTTCCGTTTTTATTTCTAACGGACGAGAACCGTATATCGAATTTTCGGAATGTTATTAACAACGTTTTACTTTGGATGTCGGTTGCTTTAGCCAACGATACGCTGGAGCACGTTGTGTGACAACAGACGACTTAAAAACCAGTTGGCCGCATGTTGGAGTTGTCTTGACTTCGGTTCGTCTGTCAGCCGTTTTAAAGTATTCGGTTCAAAGCTTGCGACTGGGTTACCGCTACCAGCTTTCTGCAGTGAACAACTGTGTTATTTATTCATTCCAAGTTATCTTCACTAGCAGCCAGGATGGACTATCGGAACACGTGATAAGCTAGGACCTGGAGAACATTCGTCGGAGCTAGGCTCAGGCATACTGACACCACATATCCAGGAAAGCGTCTGACGACCGTATCGTACTATTTGGACTCATCAGTAGCGCGCACCCGGGTTCGAATCCGACCGGATTTGGTGGGTGCATCGTGTAATGTGATGCATGTGCGACTAAGGATAGCAATCGAAATGTTAACATAGCACCACTTTTGTATTTTATCCGCATTGACCAACTTGGTAACAGGGATACAATGTTTCACGACGCTTGCTACGTAAGCGTAGATTATTACTTCGTATCAAATTCGTCTAATGTACTTTGCAGCTACAAAGCACAATTTGATTCATGCTTTTAGAGATTTTTTGCTTATTTCACTATCCGCAGCTTGTGCAACACTCAACTGGTGTTGGAGATCTGGGTTCCAACTTCCCAAGGGATGACTTACCCAACCAAGTAAACTCTATGGATCAATCTAATCGGAACCAAATTCGTACTCTTCCAAAAGAGCATGAATCGTTCAGACGCATGTCAGCTTCTCCTACCGAACAGGTGAAAAGGAGGTTTACACTTACACAAAGTCAGAAACATTGGAAAGCAGTACAGGAATCAATAAGCAAAAGACTACTTACCTACGATGACGCGATCGCATTGCAGCAGCGACATCTTTTGGACTGTCTCTATATCGTCACAGTGAGTTGCCATAATCCGCTTCTAGAACAGTGCTCGTCTAGGAGAAATAGAAGTTTCCTATGGAAGTAACTTCAAAGTTTTAGAGCAAACTCAGTCATTTTTACTTAGGTAGTTACTTACTTTTTTCAGAATATTCAGTATTTCTGCATTTCAATACCAAAGGACTCAGTTGTGCAGATGCTTCTCTCACATGCTTTCATTCATTTAGGCAAATAAAGCCTAAGTTCGTTGCGGTGCCAATGGTGGTGTAGCCCAGTGATATATTTCTGGTGTATAAATATCCACGGTCATCTTCGTCACATGGTTTCAGACTAGAATGCACAAAACCCCGGTACTCGCGTCTGCTTTTGCATTACACTAGTTAGGCCATTTGTCGGGGATCTAAAAGCTAGGCTAGCAAAAGTACAGTTCTTTGCATGTGCGACCGACTGCCCCATCATCGAACCATCCCTCTTAGTCGGAAGTGTGTATAACCGTACGATACTTATTTTACCTCACACTTTAAGATAACTGCGAGATAGTCAGCTACGCACTTGTTACCCCTCCAGGACTTGTAAATGTATATTGCGAAACCATCAGAGGACTGACTCAGAGAGCCTGTGGTCGTCTTTTTTCTTCCACTGAGTTCCATGCTGCTTTTAACGCTACACTGGGCCGCTATGCTGTGAGGAGCATAGCATTCTTTCTGGGCCCCCAAACTAAATTGCATAGTCAAACATCCGTCATACACTAGTCAAATTACCCCACCCCTTTTTAAAAATTAGTCCTAAAAAATAATAAGTTTATGCGTTAGCATCATCGTTACTATTACACCATCAGTCTGAGGTCGCCCAACTTTTCCATTAACTGTGCTAGACCGTGGAGTAAATTATCCGTCATCTTCGCATCGAAATACAGCAGCTCACATACGAACTCGAGCCTCCAAACTATTAGGCCGTTGATGTTAGGACAGTATTTCTTAAGCTCATTGAGCTAAGTATACGAGTAAGGATTAATTATCAAGCTGCCACTAGACTGTCGCCAGTATTGACAACCAATCAACGTAACCGCCCGCATTAGCTGAGCCCTTAATGGCCACAGGTTTTAAGGTTTCTTGCGACGCATCTTTCCCTGACCCTATTCATTGCGGAAAGAGCCGGTTTTTCCTCTGTGAGGCTAAGTGGTCGGCAATGAGTCCACATCGATTGGTCACCAAGTGCTCAACTGCTACGTAATGTCTCTATTTAAAAATTGTCACATGCGCGCTTTTAGCTAAGCGAATTAAACGAATCATCAGTCATCAAATACCTCGCCACTTCCAACAATATCATTTGAATTTGCTGATAAAATCTTGTAACTCACTAAACATTTACAAAGGCGCGGTTTTCACTATGGTTACCCGAATTAGTAGGATGGCTGCTAGCGCTCAATCTGCGTGTCGGAAATAACATTCTCAGGGGATTCATGAACACTGCACTTAAACGATACCCCAACGCCCCAGGTCACGCAGTGGTGGGGGTATTCCTAATCCAAGTGGTGGTTACCCTGGGCTCTATCTATTAGTCCATTTGGGCTAATTTCCATCGTCCAGTTAATCATGTGTGGAGTTCTACAAGGAAATAATTGAAGCCCTGTTCCCAAGAAAACCCTTTTCCCTTGATCGCTCCTTCAATATCTTTGTGCCATACTACAGAGCGACTCAGCCAAACCCACAGCTGTCCTATTTGAGAATAAACGATTTTGTAAAACGCGGAAAGAAGGCGAAAGCTGGTAGATGTGCGGTATGCAACTATATATTTAGCTATGACTGTGACCAAATAACTATGATGTGCAAGATGAATGACGGACTCATTAAGCGGTCTGTCTACAGAAAAGATACATGGTCCGGCCACTACCCGCACTTCACCAGCTTCACACCATGCGGTGCAAGCGGACCATTGTGAAAACTTTGCCATATTAGACGAATTTGCTTAACTGATTGTCTGGTCGTTGAGATAGAGTTAAGTACAATAACGCTCGTGTTTAACGGTTATTCTAGCAGAATTACAGAGAAATACAACCAACAGCGGAGCCTGAAGAACATGGTGCATGAGCAGTCAAGTTAAAGATCTATATTGATTTACCTTTCAAGTATAACTTTCCTACACTGAAGACACCAAACCTTGAATTTCTGCTTCACAGTGTAATTACTCTGCTGTTCAAGATGTGGTCATAGAACGAAATCATAATTTGCCGCTGTCTCCGACGAAGGAATCACAACCGATCGGGGCCAACTCACACTGCATATAACAATTCGTATACAACTGCGGAGCCAGTTATGTAGGCAAAACTCATCGGTCTTTGACTTCCCGGATAAAGCGGTACGTGCCGAGGTGGGTTCAACAGGGAATTGACCAGAATCCCAGCCCCACTGAACTTCCGTGCTCGCGCACGCCACCAGCTTCTCAATAGGTAAACACCTAATAGTCATCGGATGGAGCTTGGATCAGGGTTCACATTAGTGTTACGTCATGATAATCCCCGTTTCCTCCTGTATACATTTTGATCATCTATTTCCAGAGATTTTCTACTCTAGCTGGGTTTCTAATGACGGGCACGTGCCCACCGAAGTAAGCTAATGAATTGCGGCGTTTAAAATTAGCCTTACAACTCAGCGATTTTTTCCAATGTCAAAAGTAAGCTTTTTTAGTCCTAATTACTTTGTATGAACAACTACAGTGGCAGCCAGTCCGGCCTAAAATATGCAAGTAGAGTACCACCTACATGTTAGCAACCACAAGGTGCGCAGGTGTATACAGTGCTACTGCGGTCGGATTAGACTGAATACATTAGGTTGCTTTAGGAAGCCATGAGTTTACCAATTTAACGCTTTCTTAGAAACGATTTATTTTATTGGGTGTTGAGTAACTGGCGTTTTAAGGGAAAACCACCTAGTTAACACTATAAAATTGTGATAGCTGTGTTGTTCTTCCATTCCACTTCTTAGGATAGAATCCATGGGATCTACTTCGTACCTGTTTCAGCAATCTACTGGACATAACTTAAAGCACACTCCAGTTGGGAGCAACTTGTTGTTTCTGCCATACTACTTGCCCAGAGAATTTTCGGTGTCGATTATTTGCACGATGCAGCTATCTGTGAATCGGGATAGTAAAAAGCACAATTTAGTTGGGTCGCTGACGCCCCATCTTCGTAGCCAGTTACTTGGGGTCACACAATGTTGACTGGATGTTGATGAAACCTATTCCTTAAACCTTGTTATTCATATCTCTTTTCTGCTGTGTCTTTGTCCTTCTCTGTCTAATTTTCTGGCAGAAATGTACCAAGTAAAGGATCTGCTTTGCCACTTTTGTGGTTGCTGGTGGCAGCGGCGCTGTCAAAGCAGCATTATGGATGACTGTAGGCTAAAAGCATGCGATTGATCATTGGCTTTGTGGATTTGCAACTGTCATTTAGAGTAAATCAAGACTGCTACTGCATTGTGCACAATTTCTATCCGAGCTTACCCAATAACCTCCCGGTGGCACCAGCTGGAGGGGTCGGGATTTTCCCGTTCCAGCAAATGCCCCGACTGCAATGTTCCAGGACGTGATGGGTTTTCGCCTGACAGGCGTTCTCCCTGTAAAAAACCACGGATATCTGCTTGACAAAATGGCAACGTGGTGGATGTCAGTCGTCACTAAATGTAGTCAGTGCTCCTTGTCTGCCTTAAGGACGTTGTACCAAGGCAAGCAATCTGGACATCGGATTTTTCCTCTCATATTAGGAGGGTTGAGTCACTGGAATGGATTATCGCCATTTGAAAGTTGTATAAACTGAGTGATCAGTCACCGATTCCAAACAGTTCCGAAATGCTTAAATCGCCTTACTAATATTACTACCTTGTGGGTTATGCTGTTAAGCTGAAAGCGATGGTCCTCTTTGTTAACCAACCTAGTGTAGTCTAGACAACCGGATAGGATCACGCCTACTGATGAACTATGGAAACGCGCTCTCACGCTGTCTTGCTCTTATGTTATTTTACTCTGCTGCTACCACAAAAGTTTCAATTACACATCACTTACCTCTTTGCTCTCCCCTTGTATCAATTGACCCACTCATTTTTCACGGGCGAACAACCTTGCTAACTCCGACATAGTTGTCTCACTAACATCCACCAACACAACCGCACTGTTCTGCAGAGAACCAGCAACCTCAATGTCTCTCACTGTCGCTTCCGCAGCTTGGAACTCGATTCAAGTTAGCAGGGTTCAATGTACGCTGAACTCGCATGCACTTTGGAGATGTACAATCGATGACTACTACCTGGTTAAGGCATACGTACAATATTCCGACACATTCTGCCAGCTGCTGTCACAACTCCGCTCACACAGCCGCATCCATCTGTCTTCCTAATGACGCTAAGCTGTTGTTGCGATCGCCATAAATTCTAGAGCCGAGACCTCTCTCATTCATTTGATTGCAATCCACGGTCCATTTGTGCTATGATGCTCCGTCGCTGCAGTATGCGGAGCTGTCGGCAGACGTTAAGCCGATAATGGTGCCATTTTTTGATCACCACGTACGCACCCACTGACCACAGCTCGGTTACAGTCAAGGATCAGCTCTGTCAAAACCTTCATGAGTAGATCACTGGCTCTTAAAACAGGCATTATTATTATGGCAGAAGACTTCAACCCAGGTGTCGCTCGGTTGCTGCCATGGGAACACCATCACGGGTGACTTCGTGTGCATGGTGCTATTCGCTGGAACAACGGAGAGACTGCTCAGTATAACTGCCGACCACCAGCTTTTCCTCTTCGGTACGAACTTGCGTCACTCTGGTCATCCCGATGCCACCTGGTGTCCTCCATCGTCAACCCAGCGCTGGTCACAAACTGATCACATAGCCATAAGTCGCAGATGGCGTGGCAGCGTAAGGGATTGCCGATCATTTTGTAAACTTGTGTTGAAAACGATTAAGCATTAGTGTGGGCGACAGTCTGCATGCGCTTCGGTGGCGCATCTATGACCAAATAACT